GCTAAATAGTAAGTAGGAAAAATCAGTTGTTTCAAAACTGGAAGCTTCAAAGTTAACTTTAATTTGGTAATCTAACAATACAATCTAATAATCTATATAATTTGGAGAAAAAAATCTATTTAAAACTTAATTAGTTGAAATATTATTAAATTTCAGAAGCCTTTGAGAAGTAGAAAATAAATTTGCTTACTTGCCTCGAATTAAATTTCAAACTATGACAAATTACAAATACATAACAATAGAAACCAATTCTAACTTCAATACAAAAATATCTTAAAATGTTGAAGGATAAAAGAATAAAAAATGACTATTTTAGTTTTAGAAGAGAAATTATAAACAGAAGACACATCCGGTGACTATCAGACTGTTACAACTCTTTGATTTATCATAATTTGATAAATGCATTTAATAATATGTAGGATAAGCAATACTTATGTTGTACAATTAAGCTATAAACTTGTAGATAAAAAAGTTTTAAAATTACTATCTACGCAGGAAGTTAGATAAGCTAACAATGTGGAAAACACCGCTTGGACACAACATTGAAAACTTTTTCAAACACATGATAGATGCTAATTTCACTCCATAAATATGACTTCATGCACAAATCACAAATCAGACTTATTATTGGATACAACACATAACAAAGATTTCTAAACACAACTTTTTTTATGATACTTGGTTTTTCTTTTCTTAATTGTAATTTTTAAAGCATCGAAATAAAACAAAATTAATTTAATGGAGTTCAATTTCGATATAACTAAATTTCAATAAATTATACAGTCATTTCGCAATAAATGGAAGCACAATAGCTTGAATATCACTAAAGCTACATTTTTTAATGAGGCACAATATTATTATTCTTGATTAATTAATTCAAATTCCGTTAAACACGATCATTTTTAAAAGATTATTAGACCTTTAACAGCTGAAAAATGCTGATAAAAAAATAACTACCCAACAATAAAAATTATTGCCCCTACCCTAGTAATCTAAGTGGGTAAACTTGCTTTTGTGTTGCTTGCATTGTCAGCATCAATACTGCATTGTATTTCTTTAGAATTTAGAAGAAAAAGGATTCGATGTAGAAGTATGCAATCAAATTTACCTCACTTTTTTTCACACCCATTATGATTGAGCCTAGAGGTTATTATTTTTTGTTACCACTTGTATGGAAGAAATGTGTATTGCTAAAGATATCGATGCACAAGTTAAAAACTTATCAAATTAATCGTATTAATGAGTTGGATAACAAAGATATAGCATTCGAAGTATGGAATTCTCACGGTATTAAGAGACAGAAAAAAATTATCCTCAAATAAATCGAATCTACAAATCAAACTGTCAAAAAGACAATATTTTTAAGCTATAAAGCAAAGCCAATAAGTAAATGGAAAGTTTTTTGTCATGCCTATAACATTCAATATATTGCGAACTGACTGTACTTTAAAAACTTTTTAATGGTCAACATTTTTGAAATAATAAATATATAAATAAAGCTAATTCTATGCTTCTTCTCTTTTATTTAGGCCAGTGAAAAAAGAAAACTATGCACTCACAATGTTAATAAAAAAATGATTTGATGGTTGGATATACAAAGATTGAAAAAACAGCAATTATTTAAAGAGAAATATACAAGTTGTCCGTGGAAAACTACGATGTTTGATGTTTTGTACACAGTGTTGTACAGTGCATCAATTTACAAATGTACATGCTGTACATGGCCTACATTATTATATAGATTGGGAAAATTGGATAAGCACCTTCTCAATGTACAGTGCAAGAGAGGGATGACAACACAGGTGCAGAAAATTCTGCTTTGAGGCACCTTTATTGTTTAATAGAGTGAGATCTTTTTCAGACCCAAAAAGGCAAGAAATCAACTGAATTGATGACTGAACACAATAATTTATACATTTAAAAAAGTGGATAGTTTTTTTTAAAATAATGAAATAGAAATCAAATAATGGGCAAGATCTGTAACACAGAGACAAGAGAGCAAACTCTGAATTGTTAAAAACTTTGCTGTATGTTCAGTTGAAGATATTTAAGAGTTAAAGCACTGGTCAGACTGTATTTTTTACTGTAGCTTTTTTGTTTACATAAAAATTTAATCAAATATGCATTGAGAAATTGAAAAACTATATACTGGAATTTTTATTAATCATCATATCAGATAATTGGAAGAGAAGTTTATTTTGTTTCAAAGCTAGGAAAAATGAAAATATAGTTCTATTTTTTTTTTTTTTTTTCAAATATAACTAGAAAATAGTAAAAGTTAAGTATTATATATTACTGTACAGATTGTATTTTATAATATTTCTTTATCATTAAAATAATAAATCACATGAAATTAGCCGTGGGAAATTGAAAATATGGGTGGTGCAAATTATTGGGCAAACTGGTCTAACCAAATGCAGCAGAAATAAATATACTCTTAAAATTTTGAAGCATTATTATTTGTTAAATCTTCAATTTGAACTGTTCTAATAGACTTATTATAAATTTTGAAAAGCATTATTACCAAATAAAGTATTACGTCACACGGCAACTACAAACCGGTCTAAACTCCACAGTCAAAAAGTGTTGACAATTCGAAAGTGAGACAATTTTGGCTTCGGGTCACAGAACTTGCCTATTTGTATGCATCAAGGAAAAATATTACTTTCAGAAATGTTAAGTGAATAAGACAATTAAAAAAAATTGATTGAAGAAATATAGCTTGCATACAATGCCAAACATTCATAGAGTGAGGAAACAAAAGATATAAAACAACATTGTTTGAACCTTTAGTTGTAACTTAAGTACACACAACAACGATCATTATCAAGATTATTATTATAAAATCTCCATAGTAACATGTTAAATTTATTGCTGTAATTATATCAAAATTAAATAACACCTTTGTTTTGGTTCTAGTAATTCTTATTCAAGGTTTTTTCTTATTATTATTTATTTCACAGGAATTTGCGAAAGTATAAAAAAGCAATAGCTAAGAAATAATAGCATTAGAAGAAAAACAATTTAAATTAAACAAAAATGGCTTGATATTCAAATACTAAACTAAGCAAAGCAATCAAAAGAGTTTTATTTAATAATCTAAAAGACACAAATTTTAGCTCAGTTTTGGTTTCATCTTTATTAGAAGATGAAACCAAATTCCTTTATTATTCCAAGAGAAAAAAGATACCTTTCTTCTTACTAATTTATTCCGGAATATTTATTTATAAAAAATTTGGATGTTTTTTAACACCTGCCCATAATATATATTAGAATCCTTGTTGAGAAAAGAAGTCAAAAAGAGTATACACTAGTGATAGAAAATTAACATTTAAATGAGGGATAAATAGAAAAAACTATCAAGGAAAAGACCAAAAAAAATAATAAATAAATAAATATCTGTTTAATTTCCAGAAGAAATAGAACTCGAATTTCTAAGCTTTACATGGCAATCAAACTGGTTTTTAATATTCTTTTTTTCACCTTACTTGTGATTACACAGATTGCAAAAGATTTTTTTTTCATTTAATTAGTTGTTGACCCTTTATGATGATTATTTTTTTTAACTTTTCGACAAGGATTCTAAAAATATAAAAAACAGCCCTTATAATTATATTTGTTATAATATTTAAAAATTATTTTGCATTATGTAAAATTATTAATAAGAATCTAAAAAAAAAATAATAAATAAAACTCAAGAGTCAGTTCCCCCCGCTCTTTCAGAATATGTTTATCTTTGCATGTCATTACTCAGCTGTTACTTTGCATTAATGAAAATTTTCAAAACCATTTACAAATGTTACATGTATGCACAATATTGATTTAAAAAAAAAAAAAAATTAAAAATTTTAGTGTTCAAACATCAAACCGTGTTCAAGAGANTGAGGCATAATCTATTAACATTTAAATGAGGGATAAATAGAAAAACTAATAACATTTAAATGAGGGATAATCTATTAACATTTAAATGAGGGATAAATAGAAAAAACTAATAACATTTAAATGAGGGATAAATAGAAAAAACTATTAACATTTAAATGAGGGATAAATAGAAAAATCTATTAACATTTAAATGAGGGATAAATAGAAAAAACTATTAACATTTAAATGAGGGATAAAAAGAAAAAAACTATTAACATTTAAATGAGGGATAAATAGAAAAAACTATCAAATAACTATTAAGGAAAAGACCAACAAAAAAAAAATATCTGTTTAATTTCCAGAAGAAAAAAAATTTGAATTTCAAAGCTTTACATGGCAATCAAACTGGTTTTTAATATTCTTTTTTTTCTTCCTTACTTGTGATTACACAGATTTCAAAAGATTTTTTTCATCTAATTAGTTGTTGACCCTTTATGATGATTATTTTTTTAAACTTTTCGACAAGGATTCTAAAAATATAAAAAACAGCCCTTATAATTAAATTTGTTATAATATTTAAAAATTTTTTTGCATTATGTAAAATTATTAATAAGAATCTAAAAAAAAAATAATAATAAATAAAACTCAAGAGTCAGTTCCCCCCGCTCTTTCAGAATATGTTTATCTTTGCATGTCATTACTCAGCTGTTACTTTGCATTAATGAAAATTTTCAAAAACATTTACAAATGTTACATGTATGCACAATATTGATTTTAAAAAAAAAAATTAAAAATTTTAGTGTTCAAACATCAAACCGTGTTCAAGAGAGATGTTTCTTCTTATCACACATAACTCATTATGCTCGCATTTACATGGTCAATGTTAAAAACAAATGAATTTTTTACAGATGCAATATTTTCCCAGTCTTAGTTACAATATCTATCTACAAGATCTATTTGAATGTGAAATGTAAAATTAAGTAAAACCTGCAAATTTCAAGTCTAATCCATTCAGAAGGGGCCGAAACTATGGAAGACCTGTGTTCTATGTTACAATTGAAAATTAGGCCTAAAATGGAACTAATTAACAAATAATGGTTATTTACAATTTTTGTTTTTCTTCCTTTTTTTCGAATGTCTTTGGACCATACTACATTTAACATTCGGCAAAAATGAGCATGTGAAACTCCATATTGGTAAAAAATTTAAGGCCCAAAAAAAATTTGAAATCATTTATTTTTTATTTTACATTTTTTAAAAAAAATGAACATGTACAATTAATGATTTCAATGGTTATTTAAACTTGTCTTTTTTAAACTTATTTACAAGTTTCTTTTCCGACGACGCGACATTGTACAAAACAGAAAAGAAAGCTAATGCACTTAAATGAATCTACGCTCATAAAAATATAAAAAATTTACAGAAATTTTGTGCAGAACTTGCAACAACCCTCTTGTAAGATCACAATATATTGATTTCTCTTATTTTTTTTTTATATGTACATACAAATTCCTTAAAAATTTATTTGGATAAAATAAAATAGGATATTACAAAACTTTACATGGATAATTTAATATGATCGACAAAATTAACATGATTATTTTAATAAATAAGGAACATGGTGTTATGAAATTAAAAATTTATGTACACAACTCTGGTTGCCCCATCTGGCTCCTTGTAAATGTTTCATCGCACTAAATAATACATCTGAAACAACCAAATGCATGTCCCACATGGTAAATTAACAAAATAAAATTACACTGTACAAATATTGTATTGCATGAACTTTGTCTATTTAGATGATATTTACAAAAAAACAAAAATTAAAAAGAAAAACATCCTTAATGCATTCACTCGGACCCTTTAATATCTTAGAATTTACAATAGAATTCGTTACAATCGACTGGTGGGTTGACCTTATGCTTATAATCATGAAACTGTGTAACAAAACCTAAGGGATCTGAGCACGTTTAGAGTTGTCCATTTTTAAAAAATAAATAAATTTTGACTCATTTTCAGCACATAATTTAAAATAGAAATACACATTAATTCCTTAAATTCTTCAGATATTAGTCACATCGTGAAATAAAATGACTATTAAATTTCAGCACATTGTTCAAAACCACTAAAATAATAATGTTTAAAGATTTTTCATTTTTTTTTTATTGCCCAGTTCATTTTTTATTGCAATTCACATTTTTTCACTAAAAATAATTATTTAAAATGAATAAAGAAAACATTTTTTGTATCAAATAAAGAAATATTAATAGTTCAAATTAAAAAGTTACAGATGAAAGAAAAAAAATTTTTTTTTTCAGATTAAAAATCTTATTATATTTGGCTTAAAGTTTATTCTAATACTTAAATGCGTAAAAAATCAAATCAAACAATATTTTGTATTCTTAACTACATGTTAAGTTCCAATTTTTTTTTTATTTAAAAAATGTCATTTTAAATGTGCTCAGCCTCCTTAATGTCTTCTAATGAATTGTGTGACTGGAGAGCTATTAAGTATTTTGTTTATCTTTTGTGAGGAATTGAGACTTTGACAGGACACACACTTAAAAATTGTTGTATTCACGATTAACATAATTAAAAAGCTAAGGAATACCTCCCACCCTTCCTCTGTACAGTTGTAAAGGGCTTTTTTAAATGGCCAATGAGCAGAAATATACAAAATCCAAATCTACAACAGCAATAGCTCTCTAAAACACTCTACATGCACATACAATTTCTACAATGAGCTAATTACAATAAAAATTGAATACAAAAATGTTTCACAAGTTTTACAAAAAAACAAGCTACCTCAACACTGCTGCTAAGGTAGCCAAGTTATATATAGTAATATGTATATATGTATATATATTGTTACAAGAAAGCTAAACAATACTGAAGTTAACCACAACACATCTCAAATATGCAGACATTATTCCCAAGGAAGAATACACAAATTACCATATCCATCACAAGCTGAGTACACAAGACAGTATTTTATAACTTTAGCAATTAAAAAAAAAACTACACTCACCAAAAAATCTAAGCATTTAATACACAGAAAAACTAGAACATTTTTTTTATAACAGGGCTAAAATTGATGGCCCAGTTACGCTTGTCTTAAGTTTCGTTGAATGAAAAAAATATGCATGGAAATGCCATTACACACACTGCCAAATAAAATTAACAACAAACAAGGCTGTATTAGATAAATAACACTGTTTAACATTAAAGAAATTAGATATAATAAGCAGTGTAATTGATTAAGTCCATTTGAATGCTTTAATTCTAGAGCATTTGTATCCAAAATAGTCAAAATGCTATTTTGTCCCTTTTTAAGGCATCAGTGATGCATATAAAATGGGATCTTGAACTCCAGCATTTCATTAAATAGCTAGTAATCATTATCCCCAACTTTACTGACATGTCATACGTGAAAAAAAGAAGGAAAAATACATAAATGTCAAACAAGACAAAAGGAAAAATTAAAACTAGCACTCTAAATTAATAACAAATTTCAACACATATTTTGAACTCGGCAATTCTTGCCTGGTAATGAATTTAATGCAGTGTAGAACAGGTGTACTAACAGCATTGTTATATAAATCAAAATATTAAAGGTTAAAAAAAAGTTACAAAAACAAACAAGGGATTTTTTTGTTACTTTAACGGGAAAAAACAGCTACACAAACCAATGAATAATTAATATACAAAATTAATATTAAGGTTTAAAAGAAAGAAAAGATATCCATCATGAATTATTTATAATATGATATCTAACAGCGAAGAGCGTGCTGCATATGTCCACCTGTTCATCTAAAACATATGAAGAGTTAGTTACACTTTTACACAGCTGACTGTACAGGACGTTATCAAAAATTAGCATTTAAAAATTACATCTGTAGCACCGAAATGTTACAAAATTTTTATTTTCACACATTTTACACTATACACAATTGGGTATACCTAGCTTTAAAAAAACCATTGCTGTTCTGATATACAACCTCATATTGAGGAACTTCTTAAGGCTAGTTCTTGAGGAAAAACACAGATGGAAGAACATAAATTTAAATAATATAGTAGCTGTGAAGAAAGGAGGAAAAAAATCACTTTGCTCGCAGTGATTTTTAAGCCAAACAACGATAATGCTTGCTATTTTTTTCCTTAAAATATAAACTTTAAAACCAAGCATTTTATGTTTGATGGCAATTGGCGTTTAACAATTATTATAACCATAAATAGATACACTATGCTTAGAACAGTTAAAAGTTTTTTTTTCAATTGAAGTACACTAATTTAGGTAAAAACTACTATTAAATATGTATTAAAGGATATAAAACTACACACGACAACCACAACAGCACTATTAAGTTGAGAAAAATCTACAAAAAAAAAAATTTATGACCCATGCATGCTCAGATGCACTGTAAATACATCCTGTACAATATCAACTACTGGGCTAGGTGTACCCATTAAAAACTATATCAAAACAACACTCAAGTTTTTAGGTAAGTTGGGAAAAAAAAATTAAAATCAATTGTAAGATCCTTACATACATAATTGATTATTTTTTCTGTTTTAGCCGGAGTGCCGTTAACATCTTATATACAACAACCATATTAAGTCGAAAATAAATAATTTGAAAACAATAAGTTAAATGTATTTTACATTTGGTAGTCAAGTAATAAAATTGGCCTAACCCATTACAAGTCTGTACCTAATAAAAATAAAGCACGAAATAATTTTTACCTTAGCAAATTTTGCAATTTTGTGTATATTATTTCTGCATGCACTCCGGACCTTTTAAAGATTAGCTTTTAAATGTTCCCATTGGATGGTGCACCAATGGGACCTAGCTCATTATTTTTCATCAAATATTTCTCTAGCTTTGCAAGAATGTGCTTGCCATAGGTATATTTACGCAGCGATGTGATATGAGGACGGATCTTGTGCAGCAACAGCTTACGTTGAGGGGGCTCAGATACTTCAATCATTCGTTGCACCACATAATTGGCATACTGGTCCTTCATCATAGCATATAAGGCACTGTGGGGCCTAGAAAAACAATTAGAGTCAAGAAACTTCATTTTTGTAATCAATGATAAATAATATCCTTATACCAGTGCCCTTTGATACCTATAAATGTAAAAATAAGCCGCCCTCCCTAAGAACACAGAATTTTTTTTTTTGCAAGAAAAGGTATTTTTAACCATCTGTTATAATGAAAAGTCCATTTATTTAGTTAATGACAATTACTTAACTTCAACTTTGAATTTCATTCCTACATTTTAGTAAGATTTTTCAAAATGTCTAATTATATAATTAGAATTTGCATGATGATTTTTTAAAAAAGAAAATTATTAAAAAATGTTTTTAAGAAATATTTACAAATTAAAAAAAAAAAAAAGTAAAATAAGTAAATTATACAATCATCAGCTCACACAATTATATTCGGAAAAAATAGTGCTCTCTAATATTGTACAGTAGAGAACCGATTATCCGGAACGATCGGGACTATCGCTATTCCGGATAACTGATTTTTCCGGTTTTCTGATCGCTACAAAAAGTCGTTTTTTTAGTGTTAAACCTAACTAAAAAAAAATATTTGGAAATAATCTTTAAAATAAGAAAAAACGATGAGGTAATACACTAATGATTATTTCTGAAATGATGGTAAGGTAAACATCTTTCAAAAAAGAAAGAAAAATCGTAAAATCTTATGAGGAAAAAAAATTTTTTTTTAAAAAAATTGCGGAAAAATTTATCGAATTTCGTTCCGGTTTTTTGGTTTTCCGATTTCCGGATAACGGGTTCTGTACTGTATTATTATAGCCTAGTAAAACATATCAATACAAGCATCGATATGTTTTGCTATTGTATTGATATGTTTTGCTTTGATACAATATTAATACAATATAAGAAAACATTATTTTTTCGGATATATTCGTGTGAGCTGATGACGAGATATCTTCTCCTTATTTTAGTTTCTAAATGTTTTTTAAAAATTTTTTAGATTTTTAAAACTCTTCTTCTACTTCAAAATTCTTTATATCTTTTCCCTAGTTTTCTCCATATTTTTAACTTATTTTATAAGTTCTATACACTCGCAGTTTATGTACAGTAAATAAAACTTTTTATTTTTCGTAATTTGTTTTTCTTTTTTAGTTGAACTCTCTTTTATCCTTTTTGTCTTTATTATGTTATTATATATAT